CAGTTATATATTCATAAATATATGAAAACGAGAAATCCTTAAATATCTGGATTTTAAAATATAGTGGATTTAGACGACTTTCAAAATAAACGACTAATTTGTTAAATTTGTAACATTCCATTTCAAGTGATTACAACACAAAATAGAAGTAAGCGTCCTCACTGAATGCATTAAATTTCGAAGAAAACGGTTCCACGCAATTACTGTATAAAACTTTGACTTTTAATTACAGACTTAAAAACGAAAATGTCCAAAATGTCCAAACAGCGTCACAAAGTGTTAAAAACTACTGTGAATATAAAATAGAATACACTTCGATCATTAAAAATGTAAACGTATCCGTCTCTGCGTATCAATCAAGTATCTCGGTGCCGAATGAAAACGAGAATAAAAGAAATTCAGCTCTCTATCGAACGTATTATATATTATTCGGGTCGGATACCAAAATGTATTGTCAGTATGGCGGAGAAGGCAGCGAGAAGGAAACGAGATAAATATACAGTGACGAAAGCAAAAGATACGTTCCCATCGTGCAGGAGTATCGTTCGGATTTTCCTTCCTCCGTTCTCTCTGCAACTGAACGAACTTCTATCATCGGGACGATTTGCGAGAGCCTACTGATGTATCTTTCATCTGAGGGCATGACAGCTCAATTTATCAAACTCCTAACCTGTCCGAAACGATTTTCCACTCGATTTTCCACATGGAATGAAATGGTTTTTTTTTCTTCCCCCGCTTTCTGATCGAATATCGTACACAAATTGCCAAAAGACCAGAAATGTTATTTGGAAACGTTTGCGAACGATAAGTATGTTTTGGTTTAATTAACAGTTGTTTGTGAACAGTAGCGTTTAGTAACAGTAGTACCAAGAACAATGCTAATTTTTGTATTGAATTAGTGTTAGACCTAACCCTGACCTAACCCTAATCTTAGAAATATTATTTAGAAACATTTTTGTGAACGATAAGTATGTTTTGGTTTAATTAACAGTTGTTCGTGAACAGTAGCGTTTAGTAACAGTAGTACCAAGAACAATGCTAATTTTTGTATTGAATTAGTGTTAGACATAACCCTGACCTAACCCTAATCTTAGAAATATTATTTAGAAACATTTGTGAACGATAAGTATGTTATGACTTAATTAACAGTTGTTTGTGAACAGTAGCGTTTAGTAACAGTAATACTAAAAACAATGCTAATTTTTGTATTTAATTTGTGTTAAGCCTAACTCTGACCAAACTCTAATCCCAGAAATATTATTTAGAAACGTTTGTTTACGATACGTATGTTAAGATTTAATTAACCGTTGTTTATGAACAGTAGCGAACAAGCTGACTGAAAGATGGCAACGCGTGATTCAAATGTTTTATTTAAAATACGACGGAACTCTCCCACCAACCCATTATAAAAATGAGCCGCGAGGTTTGGATGATCGTGTCTTCTTTTCTCGAATTGTTCACTTTTGTTTACAAGCTGAAGGACAATTGGGGAGAATTTACTGTACCAGGTACGTGTCCTCCAAACGTCATCGAATTGAGGCATTTTTTCTCTAAATGTCGTCGAATTGAGGTTTCTCTTCTTCGAATGTCGTCGAATAGAGGCAATCTACCCTCCAAAAGTCGTCGAATATAGACAATCTATCCTCCAAATGTCGTCGAATTGAGGCATCTTTTCTCTAAATGTCGTCGAACTGAGGCTTCTCTTCTCAAAATGTTGTCCAATAGAGGCGATTTATCCTTCAAATGTGGTCGAAATGGTGCACTTCTTCTCTAAATGTCGTCGAATAGAGGCATCTGTTCTCCGAATGTCGTTGAATAGAGGAAATCTAGCCTCTAAATATCGTCGACTTGAGGCAATCTACCCTCCAAATGTCGTCGAATTGAGGCATTTTTTCTCTAAATGTCGCCGAAGTGATGCATCTCTTCTCCGAATGTCGTCGAATATAGGCAATCTATCCTCCAAATGTCGTCGAACTGAGGCATCTCTTCTCTAAATGTCGACAAACTGAGGCATCTCCTCTCCGAATGTCGTCGTATAGAGGCGATCTATCCTCCAAATGTCGCCGAATAGAGGCATCTGTTCCCCGAATGTCATCGAATCGAGGCATCTCTTCTGCGAATGTCGTCGAATCGAGGCATCTTTTCTCCGAATGTCGTCGAATCGAGGCATCTCTTCTGCGAATGTCGTCGAATCGAGGCATCTTTTCTCCGAATGTCGTCGAATCGAGGCATCTCTTCTGCGAATGTCGTCGAATCGAGGCATCTTTTCTCCGAATGTCGTCGAATCGAGGCATCTCTTCTGCGAATGTCGTCGAATCGAGGCATCTTTTCTCTGAATGTCGTCGAACATAAGCCAAAATAGCCCAACTTCATTGATATTTTTTTCGAACGACATATGTACATATCTTCTTTGACGTTGCCTTTAATATTTCATGCGTGATTAAGAATCGGTTTTTCTAATGCTTTATTTGTAAACAAAATTAGTTACTTGCTACGTATAATAAATAAATACGGCTAAAGCATATCGTGTTTGGTCTCGTTTTAATTGGAAAAATCTGACGAATATATTTAAAAACTTTTCATGTACAAAAGATTAGAAATAAAAAGAAGTTAAGTCAATGTATTTATAGTAATGTACACCGGCATGCTGGCCGTTGCCTTTCCAGGTAGTTTCGGTCGACTCGAATTTCGTTCTCTCTCTCTCTCTCTCTCTCTCTCTCTCCCACGAGATACCGACATCTATAAAAGCGACCCGCCAAAAGGGACCTCGCGGTCCCTCGAAATAAACTTTCAATCCCAACTCCGCGACACTCGCGGAGAAATGACTGTATCTTTGAAACTGAAGACCAAATGACCGCACTATAGAGCAAAGCTGTCCATAATGATGTCTCCGACAACATGGTCCAAGGCCACAAAATCCATAGCAGCCTCCCCTAAAGTAAACATCTACCACACCTTTCGTCAGCGAAACGTTTCGTCCGACCTCAAAAGGCCCAGTTATTCGGGCGACTGGTCACAGATCTAAGGCGAGTGCAAGGAGCAAACAGAGAAGCAAGGTATTCCGACGAAAGCGCAAGAACAATAGTAACGTGTAACTCACCTGAAAGATGGTGACCTTCTTCAATACCGAGAGATTCACGTGAAGGGCCAGCTCGGTCTTCAGCTTGTCCGGAAGCAGGCCCAGCGCAGTGTTAATGTCCCCGCCGCCCTGTATCCTGCCGCGGGACCAGCTGTAGTCGTACCACCTGAGAACCCTTCTCTTCATCCCACCGGGCACCTTATGGTGTCTCATGTAGGTCTTCGCGCCGTCCAGAAGTCTCTCGAACTCGAGACGGTTCGCGTTCCGATTGGTGATCACGTTCCCGACCTGTCCGACGATCGTCGCGAATATGAAGACGCCGATCAGGTAGCTGACTATCGTGAAGACGTACCTACGGATCAAGAAGCGAGAAAAAGAGCCGATCAGTCCAAGGAGGATGTGATCGCTGTCCTTGGTACATGGACGAGCGGCCCCCGCCGGAGCCTTTCTCCTTTCTTTCTTTCCTTCTTTCTTTCCTCCCTTACTCGCCTTCGCCTCTTTCTTTCGTCCAATTCCCTTCACCACGTGCAACCATACCTCTCGTTCATCGCGACTCTCTCAACTACTTACTTCTCCGCTACTCTCTCCTACACCCTCAATCGCGACATCCACAAGCACGCCACCCTCCGTTCTATCGCGCTCGGCAGAATGTAGGGGGTGGAAAGGTTCGAGAACGACTGCGAGCGATCTTTCGGATTTACGAGGATCCTTCGACTATGGTCCCGGTTTGCCCGATCCACCTTCGAGGGAGGCAGTTGCCCGACGTTTAGGGACTTCGGAATTTTCTGCCTCGAAAGAGTATTCATGGGAAACTAGCGAACCGGCGATTGCGAGTGCCTCCGACACTCGTTACGTAGACGCCGTTTAAGAGAGGATTATTTGCGTTCTGTTTGGCTCGATTGCCGGTATTTTAGCATCAAAGTTTTGTGTATTTTATGTTATTGGATGTTTGACTACGTTGATTGATTATTGAATTTGATCTGAATTTGATTGGATTGATATTTTGCTTGATTATTAAGCGCCCTTTGTAGAAAAGCATGGAAGGTGTTCGACAATGTCAGTTCAATCTTCAGACGATTTTACTTTATTTTAAATTAACTATTGCAAGAGTTGCTCTTGGTGTGTTCTAGTATTCATGTAAATCTCAGCTTTCCAAATTTGAAACATTTCTTTATACCAGATACATAAAAATTGCTTTCAAGAGAAATTCTGTTTCTCATGTTCAATTGTTTGAAAACCGAAAATTCGCGTTTCTCTGTGACCAATTAAGTAACAAAGCTCTGCNAAATATATTTTATAAATTATATATATTATGTTTTATAAATTGTATAAAATATATTTTATAAATTATATAGAATGTATTTTATGAATTGTGTATAAAATATATTTTATAAATTATATATATTATGTTTTATAAATTGTATAAAATATATTTTATAAATTATATAGAATGTATTTTATGAATTGTGTATAAAATATATTTTATAAATTATATAGAATGTATTTTATAAATTATATAAAATGTATTTTATATATTATATAGAATAT